CCAACCAATTTCTTTGGAATATATGATGGTAATTTTTCCCTCTCGAAAACAGTCTTAATAACTTCATAGTAACGCCATAGAATCTAGACTGATATTTTTTGTCATCACGCGCATGCACTTCGTACAACCGTATCTAGCGTCATTATTTACGCTAATTGCTTAAGGTAATATCACGTGACGCTAAACGCTCTTTAATTAGAAGAATTTCATTAAATTTTGGAAATCTGTGCTGAAAAGTTGGCAATGAATAATAACCGTCGACACGTATTATTATTTGGAAAACTTGAGATAGAAACTGTAATCTAGTTTGCTTATCCAATACTTATGTATCTGCACGTGCTTTCACCCTATAGTTTTGCTGCTCTAAGTCAGCTGTCTTTAATCCGAATGACAAAAACTAACAATGGTCCAATTTACTCTTAGGTTAAGCTGTAGTAAAAATTTTTGGTCAAATGTGAACGGTTTTTGTTGAATAATAATCATAATAAAACACAATATCGTGTATAGCAATTAGTGAAAAACCAAGGAAAACGGAACCAACATGTCTGATATTAGAGGAACTAGTTTCGACACATTCGTGCGTCCTTTTCAGTCTCACGTTGTCTTCTGTCAGAAGTGTAAGATGTGAATGCTCCTTTTCTGCATTAAGGAAAGTAAATTTTGCCCCAAAACTACAACAATGCAAGTTATCCAACAAAGACTGTGAAGCCGTAACCTGATTTTTATAGAAAAAAGAACAGGCCAAAGATCTTAACCAAGATCTGAGTCTGCATCGCTTTACATCAATGGCCCTAATGTGAATTATTTTGTTTTAACTATTTCAACACTGCAGACCTGTACAGTATACAGTTTTCAGTATGGAAGCTCCCCAGTAGCACAGTGGTATGTCTGGGGATTTACAACGCTAGAATCCGGGCTTTGATACCCGTGGTGGGCAGAGCACAGATAGCCCATTGTGTAGCTTTGTGCTTAATTACAAACAAACAAACAGTACGGAAACTTTATTTAATTTGCCTAGATTACTGTAATTCTTTAGTGCTGAAAGATTTACTGTAATTTTCTGAAGTTTTTGGCAGTAATTACTGCAATACTATAAATGTTCTGAATATTCATCATTAAAATGGGTGGGATGATGTGTAATAGTTTTATTGTTCTGTAGAGCCTACACCAAATTATTTTTGAATTAACTTTTATTTTCAACATTATAAAAAAGGTCTGAAGACAACTAACACTTAACCAGGGAGTTTTTTTTTGTTGTTTTTAAAATTAAACCCCGCAACTGAAACGTTTTTGTAAACTGAAAAGTTGAACTAAAGTCCTGCAAGTTTGTACAGCGAAATATTTTATACAATTTTTAACATCAGAAATTGGTTTTGTTCTTCATTCAATTAATATGTTCTTAATATGTAATATAATGAAACCACTTGTGAGATAAATGCTGTTTTTTTTAGTTTCTCATGTGGCATAACTGAGCATGCGTTGGTTAAAGTTCTTTGTCACAAAACACTTACTAGAAAAAAACACAATATAAAGGATCAACTCATTAGAAATGTTTATATATATTATAGTTCATTCACGAGAGTGACGTTAGAGATAACCACTGATACGAAAACAAAAATGAGGTTGCTCTGGGTTGTTACAGCGTAAAAGTTTCACCTTATCTCCAGTCCCTACATGCTAATCACCCTAACGCATGCTCCTGTTACGTGG